TTGCCGGACACGAAAAAAGACAAAAAAAGGAAAAAAATAAAAACTCAAGTAAAATAAACTCAAGTGAATATGCAAACTTACCATTATAAACATTTTAACTATAACCACAAATCAACACTAAAACAAATTCTGTAAGTATTTTATTTATCACCGAGGAAAAAACACAGCAGCAAGTTCTGTGTTGGCTTCAATAAAACCAATAGTTAATCTTTAACATAGCTACTACACTCCAAAATTGAAGTCAACACAGTCATTACTACAAATTACTTGTTGAAAAGAATCTATCCTGAAGAGAAAGAAAATTAGGAAAAAGAATTTAAACAATCCCTCCAAATCATACATTTATAAATATTGTCATATTTAAAATGCTTGAAAGGCATGAATTCTCCATTAATGGAAAAGCAGTTTGCTAATGGCAACAGAAAAAACTCAGCAATAGTTTACCAAATGCTTTAAAATTTAAAAGCTGTACTGTTTTGGATTCACACTTGAACAGTATTCTTGTCGTTACAGTTACAACTGCAAATTACTTTATACTCTTCTCTCAAGTAAAATCTACAGAAAATTCCACTGTAGTATCCAATGCTTGTAATGTTTACTGCACTTATAGTGATTCTAAAAACTTTCTAAACTTAGTTAATAGTAAATACCTCAAAATATCCAAAGAGGTATGTTTCAACTGCTAATGGTGTGAAAACTTTCAGATCCACTGCTTTAAACGGTGTTCTTAAACATTTTCTTTAACAGAACCTTACGGCAATCCAACTTAATATCAGATATTTCAAAATCAAAAGGAAAAAAGATCAGTTCTATACTGAGATACAGGTGTTACTCAATACTTGAAGGGTTCACATTTTAAATTTATTTTTTAGTTTTTCTTTTTTGTAAACAAATAATTGATGAAATAATGCAACACCTTAAATTCCAGAAAATGGCATAATTTTCCAACTTTCTGTGGATACAGTGCATGATCAACCTATTATATAGCATTAATACAAGTTCATGCTCTTTGTGTTATGGTGAAACAACATTTAAGAATCCAATTTAGATTGGTTGAAGCACAAGTATAATAATCCTTGAATGTGATCAAAACTATGTGAGACACGAGTCTGAACTCATCTTCTTGAGACTTAACGTCGTACAGTGGTCCATCCATCTTCATCAGTCTCATTTTTAGTACGACGAAGAGACTCCTTATCTTTCTCAGCTCTCCACGAGGCCTTCTCTTTTTCACCTTCTCTTTCCCGGTCTCGGTCTCTTTCTCGATCTCTTGAAAGAGCTGGGGCAGGAACACGACGAGGAGGATCCCGCTCTTCTGCTCGGTCATCTTTCCTGTCATCAGCACGTCTCCAAGAACTTACTGAAACATTTAATTAAAAAAAAGAAGTTTGTACTATAGTCTTATGGCTCTAAATAAACAGACCTTAAGCAAACTAAAACCTCAAATTACTCAGAAATCCTGTACTAAAGATTAATACAGAATCAGAATTAAAAACCAATAAAAGTTACATACATTTTAATCATTCTGATATAATTTCTGACAAATCTTTAAAATAACACACAGACTTAGATATAACTCAAAATTTGAAAAAAGAAGAAATCATTAGCCTGGGGAAGTGTCCTAATTGGTATAAAACTTTAAGAAAAGGTGACAAAAATCTAGCTGAATGAAAGTTTTTTTAATTAAAAGGATGCCTGGCTCTTGAAGAATTTTAACAGCAAATCAGCCATAAAGATATGGCAGTTTTAAACTATGGCTATAACAGAAGAAATACCGGCTGGCCGGTTAGCTCAGTTGGTTAGAGGGCCACCTTATAACACCAAGGTCAAGAGTTCAGATCCCAGTGCCAGCCGGCCCCGCCGGAGCCCCCCCAAAATAAGAAATACCCTTATGATCCTGTTGTGCAAACAAAATATTAAAAGCTTGTGAGACAAGTACTTAAGTTCAATGGGCATTTTAAACACACTAAAGGTGTTTTTTACTAAAGTTTCAACTATTACAATTTCAGAGAAAGAATGTTTACACTTTATGCTTATCTGCCTGGACCTTACTTTATCCAATTTAGTCTACTACTGTACTTTGAATTTAGAGATGAACTCACTTCACAGGCTGACCATTGAGTAAGGTGTGAGAACCATATATAAATCAGTTTATCTTATTTTTGGTACTGATAACAAATTTATGAGATAATTAAATAGAACCCAAAATTCCTCCAGAAATGATGGTTCTCTAATATTTCAGCAGCTGTATGTAACCTCCATACCTTCATCACGTTCTGATCTGAGAAGAGGTCCTCGCCGGTCTCTGTCATCTCTTAGATCACGCCTTTCTCTTAGATCACGTCGATCATCTCTCTCACGACGGCGGTCATCCCTATCCCTATCATCACGGCGACTCGAATCTCTCCAGCTCGAAGACTCCTCAGCTGGCCCTCTTCTCCAGCCACCTTCATCCCTGTAGCAATTTAAAATAAGTTTTTGCTGTTGTTAAGACTACATGGGTAATTATAAGTGAATACATCATACCCAAATTGGTGCTCAGAGTTTACAAATATAGCAGGAACAAAGTTTAAACTCGTACCTTAACCTCAATCTGATACCCTCAGGCATGGAGAGAAAACAAGAACACCTATTTACTTCTATACTTCCCACACGGTAGCCACTAGGTACATGTGGCTACTTAAATTTATCTAAAATAAATTAAGACATTTCCTCAGTAGCACCAATCACATTCCAAGTGCTCAATATCCAACCATGACTGCTGGCTACCATACTGGACAGTACAGATACATTTTCATCCTTACAGAAAACTGTACTTAACAATGCTGGTCTAGATTTATCAGTGCAAAGCGCTGCTCTGACAGAGGGAGCAAGCTGCAACTTTTACCAACAATAAAAGGCGCTTTTGGTAATTTAAGGGAAATAAAACTGATTGCCCTAAACCAAAGGGAAAAAGCAATGGACTGGCAAAGACCCTGGACTGGTTCCATTACCAAACAGGTATACAACCTGTAGACAGCTACACACGTTAAGCCTCCATCTTCTCAGGTTACGAGAGAATGTTCAATTAGATGACCTCGAATTTTTTTTTTTAAATCTGTACTATGATTCTCAGAGATAAATGAGGGGATAAGGACAACCATTTCTCAATAATAGTTTGGAATACACAGAAGAGTAAAAGGGCCGGCCCGGTGGCGCACTGCTGTAGTGCGCCGCTTGGGAAGCGCGGCGGCGCTCC